TTTTGTTCATTATTACAAATATTTGCACTCATCTTGTGCATTCATAAAGTTCACAAAATTCATGATGTACAGGAATTAAAATGATCCTATTTTGATTTCATTTTTCCCCTTATCTAAAAATGCTTCTTGTTCCATAAACTATTTGTGATTAATTTCCTAAATTTAGTTTCATGGAGGGAGACTAGAACAGATGCACCTGTTAACACCAAGAAAGTATCTCTCTACTACTAAGAAAGAGTGGACCATTGTAATGATTTACTCCATAAAATATGCTGATTAGCAGTAGAAATCAATTTCTCTTCTAATTGGTTTAGTCAGTTTTACTCCAAGTCAGGAATGATACTGAATATAATAGGAATTCAGTTCTAAAATCTGAGATGAAAACTATTCTCAGAAATTGCCAAACTCTGGTTGTATTTTAGCCACTGTCAGTTTTGATTACTGAAGCTTTTAAATTTAAAAACAAATTAACATGAGAGTACAAAAAGGAGGGTTTTAAGAGTGTCTCTTAAGACACATCTGGAAAAAGCACCCCCCCAAATTGGTGCAATCCCACTACTTTACCCTTTGAGCAGGAGTTTGGGGTCCCTTCTAGCCTGAACAATTCTATGATTATATTCACAGCTGCCTCAAATGTTCGCTCTAAAAACTGTGTGGTTTTGTTTTGACTCATCACTTAAGAGAAAAGATACGGTCTCTATTCCCAAAAGGTGATGTGAATAAACAATGGCATGGTTTGTTGCCAGTGACTATACCAGTCCATTTTCAGTGCGCTTTCTGTGCAAAAAAAAAATTAAAGTTGATTACACACTGGTTTGCATAACAAGCATAAACTCAGCAGGAGCACACACTTGATGTCTGCTTTTTGATATTCATTTTGCTCTAGGTATTTCCAGCTAGAAGCATTTACTCAGAAGGAAGCCACAAAGAAAATTTGTCTTATATTTGCAGAACCTGAGTCCTTAAGAAATAGAAGTCACGCTAGGTACACACAGAGATGGAAACTCTGAATTTAAGGTGCCGCTCATACATTTTTAATCAGTTACTCTGTTCATATAGGAAATCTCCTAGAAACCTACTTCTGTCATCATATGCTCTTAAAATGAGTAAGTGAATTTTATCTGTAGAGACAACACCTATCATCCTTTCTCAAGAACACTGACTGTCTATGGACAATCTCAAACGAAAGTCATGCTACCAATGCAAGCCCAACAGTGACATAATTCATGTGCCAGAGAAGTATAACTTGCCCGGTTGATCTGTATGCAAAAAATCTGTGATTTAAATGCTATTTTAGATCTCAAGATACTGTATTATCTGGAAGTCCCAGGAGAAATACTGGTCTTTAGAAGACTTGGTGTGGTCTCCTTTTTTTTTTTTTTTTGTAAAATTATTCCCTATATGAAAGGGTGAGATTTTTAATGACTGATTTGTTATGAGCACATCAAAAAGTACAGTTATGCTCTAAGGCGGCCTCTGTGTGAAAAAGTGCTTAAAAATATTTTTCATAGGACATTGTTCACAAAGGAAATAATGGATCATTTCTATCCTTGAATACCAAAGCTGTAACACAGGGTAGAAGTGAAAATCAATTTTATTTATTATGAATGTGAGCCAAATCCTCATGTTGGCCTGAATTATCTGTAGTGTCTGAATCATCACAAACCAGAAGTTAGAAAGCAATATTTGTTTTTTAAGGCAATTGTGCTAAATTGGGCTTGCCAGATATTAAATAGACTTTTACTGAGCTGCTGACCCCTGCATGTTTCTGCTGACTCCTCAGTGCAGCTGAAAATCAGATGTTTTTTAAAATCTGGATTTAAGTGTTTACTTAAAAAAATCTGTCTTTAAAAATATTTCCCAGGCAGATGGTGTGGGGTCTATTGTAGCAATTCCATTTACACTAAAGACTACATTGCTTGGTTTTGAACTTGGGTCATTTACAGAACCTTTTCTTTTCCTTTTGTTTTTTTTTGTTTTTTTTTTTTTTAAATAAAGGCTTACACAGTCTTTAGGAGTGTGAAATAATTAGACATGCACAAGGAAACACACTTTCAGTTTTATCTCTACGTATTGAAACTATTAATAACGTAAAGAAAAAAAAAAGAAATACAGAAAGGAACTGAATAACAGCTACTGGATATTTTAGGTTCAGATCTTTCATAAGCAGATAAATGTACCTTACTAGCGTTCTGCCAAAAGACAGAATTAAGAGTTTGTATAAGTCTTTACAAGATCAAGAACACAGTTTATCTTCTTGAAGAATACATTCAATAAGATTTTCATCAATCCACACAAATTTTGTATCTTTCTAGTTCATTGTTGGCTGGCTAATAAAATTTGAGATTCAAATCCAATTACAATGCATTTATAGTACATGCATAAAGGCAAAATGCAAGACTGATTGAATTGTAATTATTTCAGGCAAAATATTTCCATATTATTAAGCTTACAAAAGCACTATTATAACTTCAGGCATTTTCTGCAAAATGGACAAATTACTTTTTGCTCTGATGTGTTCAATTCAATGAACATGGTTCACCCCATGGCTGCATTTTGAAGAGGAATTTGTGAAGCTCCCACTCCAGGGTATCCAGCAGCACCTCACTTAGGGACCACTGTCACGTTCTGCCATGTATGTTCCACATGGGAAAGGGAAATATGTAAGTCAGAGGAGATAGCAAAAGGATAAAGTGTTTACCAGCTCCTAACCTAAACTAATGGCCATTTGGGGCAAATAAAAATGCAGAGATCTGGCTTCCAAGGTATTAGGATTCTGTTCTATTGCATGGAAGAGCACTGAAGTGCTTTGAAAGGATGGGTCACCATGTCTTCATCAAGTGTTTCATACATCTCCAGTCTACTGGCTTGCTTCCCTTTCCAAAGCTGTTTTTGTCTTTTTGGAGCTCACTGGCTGAGAACACCTCACACTTTCATTCTTCAGTGAAAATGGTGGGAAAGGGATATTGCAGAGCATCACTCAGTGCCCATATTTAGCATTTTATAAGATCAAGCTGGGTTAAACCCGAGTATGAAATACCTTTAGACATTTTGTAATTTCTGTGCCTAAGATGCCATGAAAGAATGATTCTGAATCATGTTATACTAATAAAACAATTCAATAATTCTACACTGTTAAAGCCTAGTAGTTACTCAGTATCAAATGCACTTGTTAATACAATATAATTTTGAATGCCACTTAAATTCTATTTAGACTCTTGGCACAAACACACAATATGCAAAATTAAAAAATTATTCAGATATGCTGTGACAAGAACTAGAAAGGCAGTCATGTTTTAAATTTCTTGAAATTTGTCAAAAATGGATTTGTACGCTAGCTTTTCAATGTCATCCATACATTTTAATGCATGAGTCAAGCCAATATTTTATTCTATTACATTTATCTACAGATGGCTGGGGGGAGAAAATCTATATTCACACTAATTAATTGACGACATTTGGAAAACTAACTCATGGTTGATTTTTTGAATAACTCTAGTATTAACATACTTGTTTCCCCTACCCCTACGGTAAGTTTTGTTGAGGTACGTCAATAACACTTCATTCTAAAGACCTTTTAAAGCATTTTAAAGATCTTTTTCTGTTTTAAAAATATATAAAAAAAATGAATTAAGCAAAGGCTATTGCCTTTCTGTAAAGGAACAGGTGACTCATAACTCTAATTTGGAGAATAAGGTTGACTAAAATAGGAAAAAGTAATCTTGTGAAAAAGCTCTGAAAAAACAAAACCTGATGAACTGGCACTGCTTTCATCTTTATGTGCAAACTCCAAGCTTTTTTCTTTGTCTTTTTTTTTAAGAAGAGAAAACCAAAACCCCTGCAATGTGGAAATATAATTATCCTTCACAAAGACTAAGCAGATAATCTTGTAACCACATAATGTGAAATTTTTATGATGAAAAATGAAAAATTCCCCAAGGCAATGCCAAACTTCATACAGTTGCATTCTGAAACACTCAAAAAGCCTTAATATGCACGTAAAAAATGCAGTTTTGCTATTTATTTGTTTGTGGAAATTTATGCCATAGCCTTTTCAAACAGTTCCCAGCAGGTGACTGATCGAGGGGACTCACAGAACAGGAAGGACTGTGGTATACTTGTAAAGATAAAAATTAAAGGTTACATTGAAGAGAGAGCCATGAGCTGCATAAATTCAGGCCTGACTGGCAGCTAAAGCACAAGCAACTCCTTGGTTTTGTCCAGGAGTAGAAAATGAAATCTTACCTTACCTCTAAGCTTGGAAGTCCTTAGCTATGAGCTCTATGAGCCATAGCTCATATCAGTCCCTATGCAGTCCCCATAGCTCATAGCAGTCCCTATGAGCTATAAAAATGGTGAAAAACACTCATTGATTTCACTAATTATTAAAACTAGTTTCCAAAATGCATAGCTCTGAGCAAGCTAGTTTATATTAATGTCAGTAGCAGCAGAGTCTGGAAGGATGACAGCCTTTATATTGATGTTATCTTTAGAAGGCGATCCAAGTAATCAAACTGACTAAATACTTTTATCTTATAATGGAAATTTTAGATCAAATGTCAAACTTAGACCAACCATCAGACCTTTGTAACACTTTTCAGTTCTCCCATAAATTATCTCATAAAGATAATTTTAAACACTGCTACTTGGTAAAAGCAGTTCTATGTGTCAACTGAAAATTACTGCCCAAAGTTTTATAGTATGACATTTTTAGTAGCATATAATTTTCAATTTTAAGAAGGCACAAACATGGTAATCTGAATTTCTCTCCAGCTGAACCATTTGGGAAATAAGATTTGTGAGCACCAGAAATGAAATGCTCCAAAAACATGGGCAGGAACTTAATTTGGGAAATAAGATTTGTGAGCACCAAAAATGAAGGAACTTCATTCACCTCATTTAAAAGACATTTATTATGATCTGGAAATGACTATTCAAATATGTAAGTTATACCATATCGACTCTATAATGCAATATCAAAAACCAAGCACACCGAGTACCTGAATGAAAGGGAAAAGAAGTCCGACTGCGAAGTTGGAGAGCCAGTTGACTGTCCCAGCTATCATGAAGGCAGCCGGCCTTTGAGACTGCTGAAAAAACTCTCCAGTCAGGACAAAAGGAATCCCACCTGCAGGAGTGACCAGAAAGTTGATGGTTTTGATATGCTTCCTCTGCCAAAAGCTCTTGCAATTACGGGGGTCGTCACACTGAGAATTCATAAGCACCTGCCCTGCATGCCAGCTCTTGGTGATGAGGGCTGCCTCTCTTCTACATCTCTCTTCCCAGCTGCACCCAGGGCAATTTGAACCATAAAATATTTTTTGTCAAAACTATATTTTATAGAAGTGCTACATTTTGCTATTTGGCAGTGGTGTGACAACTATGTTGCATCTTTTCCGTAGTGGTAAGCAGGTAACAGAACACTTAACTCATGGAACTCCCAGGTTACCACATAATGAGTTGCTTATTAAAAATACAAGTTATTATTTCTGTTAAAATGTTTGATTTTCTGACAATTGAATAACATTCCATAATAATGTTAGGCATTAACATACAGAAGGCTCCAAAGAAGTTAAGCAGTATTTCTGGATAATTTTTACCCCCTTTAATTTGCTAATAAAAAGGCAGAACTCTAACAAGCTTGGTTTTTGTTGTTCCTTATTTATTGATTCCCTTCCAGTTTATGCTGTCGACACTTCTGAGAAGGTCCCTTTCTCCCACCAGACAGGGACTACAACCTCCAAAATAACAAACTGAGCTGAACACCACAATTGTCGCCCACGTTTCCTTCCATTCAGACAATAAATTGTTTTGCACAGCACTGTCATATTTCTGGCCAGACAATAACCCTTTGGGAAAAGGTGCCTAGTAGCTGAAAGCCTCAATTTGTGAACTGCGGCTTTCTTCAAATTGACAGAGTATTTCAAAAGAAGTATATCTGTTTTATTTTGATAGAATAAAACACAGATTTGCATTTGATTGGCTATATACTTTAGCTAATGTTGCACATTAGATGTTCATCTACTTGCATGACTATTTCACCATTGTCTGGGAACTGCAAGTCTAGCAACATCAGTTAAGTTTTCAGTATTCTGGTACCACCACTTTCTACTTCTAGTACTTTACACGTCTGCCAGCATGATCATGGTCACTCTCTTTCACTTAGCTTCACATGCAAGACCCGTGTCTGTCATGCACTATGTCCTTTCTCTGTTTTAAGTATTTAAACAAGTTAGCCTGAACAACCAAGAATGTATTAATCATCTTCCTCTCAAAACTCTCTGTAACAATCCTACCTGCCCTCATTAACTAAAAGTACCACTAAACACTTATCCATCCATTGGGTCTTCTCCCTGCGTGTTTCACTTGATCTATGTTCTTATCTTTTGCACTACTCTTTGAATGAGTACTGCTTATTCTCTTACTACTGGATGGTTGTGAACACAGGATAGTGACACAGGCACTTGCATTCAGTGACACTACACTTAAAAACACACGGTCCAGTGTCTGCTCTGCGATAATACTCTACAAACACCTAGCAGGGCATGCAAATGATATACGGCATCAGATACACCTCCATCTCTGATCTTGCACCTACAGAAAGAGCTTATGTGTAAGCCGGGATGTGTATCAGTAAGTAACAGGACTTCTAGTGAGGGATATCTACAACAGTAGCAAAGGCTTCAGCTGAGCTTTCTGCAGCAAAGACTCCCAGTATAATTTATACAGCACTCCCTACAGTGCAAATAAATTTACTTACTACTATTTTATATATTGGAACATAAAAAGCACTGAAGTCACACACGTTCCAACTCTGTCTTTCCATCTGAATTCTGTGACCTAAAAAAGCATTTATCTGTATGAGCTCAACAACCCTTTGAATGTATAATGAACAGCGGAACAGGTAGAACTGTTACTGAAATTCTTATCAATCCTTGATAGCTTCCTGAGCTGTTTTTTAAATTTTTTTTCTTCATACACTTGGGATTTGGATTCATATCTTAAGATCTGTCAGGCAAAACAGGAATCACATCTGCTCTGTCAGTATCTGTTTTAGGTCTCACACACCATGTGAGCAAGCTGTTTGCCAGAGCACTTGGTCCTTGGAGAGAGGAACTGAGGGACTGGAAACACAAAAATTGTGCAAGATGATTTATTTATGATCATTTATTCTGTCATGCCTTTGCTGAAGGACGATCTACAGAGGTGTTGCTGCTCTTGTCAGTGTAATAAAAAATGTTGTTCCAGTCCCATACACATTGTACAAGAGAGAAAAGCCAGAGGCAGAAAAGGAAAAAAAGTGCAGAAGAATAGAAACATATCAGAAAGCATAAATGTTATGGAAATAAAAATGCAAGGGCACTTCTTTGAGAAAAGTTCCTTGAAATTCAAATGTAATTTCTAGATATATATTATTCATTGCTAAAACTTAAAAATAGTCACACTCATCACAAAAGCTCTTCAATCTAATTTGAAAAATAATCAATTAATTTAGTGATGATAAAAATAGTGCTTTGCCAAGTCAAAAATAAAAGGCAGCAGCTCCCCTGGGCTTTTTCGGGTGTTTTGCAGGGGAATTAGCAAGGTGGCAGGGAGAGACCTCCAGACTTTCAGGTGGCACAAAGAAGCTTTTCCATAACATCGCAGGAGCACCTGTAGGGGGACAATGCAGGAGATCAAATGGAAGGGCCAAGGTGCCCAAGCAGCAAGGGGAGAGGGTAGATGAAGGACAGGACAGGCTTAGAAACACATGGGAAGCTGAACGAGAGCAGGTTAGACACTGCTGTGCACCCAGAGGAGTGCACACGGGACCTCGCTTGGACCTGGGGCAGAAGGTGCAAATGCCACCATGAGGGACCATCCTCTGAGCAACATCAGAATAATCCACGGTCAAGTAAAGTGAAACCACAACAAAATCAAGCTGAAAGAAAAACTTATAAAAGCCTTAAGACACAGACACTTTTATTTATTTATTTGGGGCAGTGCCTGGGACTGAAGAAAGATGCAATTTGCCTTGACTAGCTCAGTTTGGACCAGGGCACCCAGGACTGCACAGGTGCTGCTACTCCATCTGCAGACTGCAGGCTCAGTCCTCCCTCAGCATCTCCTCAAAAAGCCTAGGATTTTCTGTTCTGCTTTCTGAGTAGTTAAGTCATTAAAACAGAATGGCATATCGTCAACCACAGTCCTATCCCAAGGTGTCCCACTAGGGGAAACAGGATCATTCTGGTGTATGTTCATATACAGATACTTGGAAAAAACAGCCAAAAGCAATCTGGCCAATCCACAGTAAATTGTGGAAATGCTCTTCAAGCTCTTTTTCAGGGTTTTGCAGGCTTAATATGTGTTTGAATGTGAGCGACTGCTGTGGTTGCACCAAGCAGTTAATTGATGTTCTTTCTCACGGGGGATGAGTCTAGCATTAGCAGTCCCCATGGAAGGCTATCCACACTTTTTTTCTTCTTCTTCTTCAGTGAAATAGTTTTCTTTTAGCTCTGATCATGAAAAAGAAAATTTATATTAGGAGTTCTTGTAGGAGGTTTCAACGAGGCACTTTCTGAACATGAAATTAAAGAAGTAATACATTGACCACAATTACTGTGATTCATGTCTAATACTTTGTTTTTTTCAGCACTGCAGTGAACATAATAGGAGAATGAGCTTTTAACATAGTGCAGAGCCATTAAAGAAATGCTTTTATACCTGTTAGCATGCTGCTTCTACTTGAAATTACAAATCTCTATTATAAGGCTTGTATATCCACTGTATTTAATGAAACTACATTAAGCCCACACAACACAATCTGACAGGCACCAATACTTACATACCTGTTTTGTGAATTTCCTTCCATAATTAGTGCAGCTAAACTTAGAATCAGTATCTTTTGCTGGTAAGCATCCAGAATCTCAACCCAATTTTTTTTATGCAAGACATTGGAATGATGGAAGATAAATTATGTATATAAGTTTATATAAATATGTATTTTATATATACATATATACACACTCAATGTTGGTACAAATTATATAAATTTTCAAATATATGTAATTTTGCACAAATATCAACATGTTGTGTACACATTTACTGTTTTATTCAATGAGCAGTTGCATATAAATGCTGTGCAGCAGAAGTTACGCATGGCAGCATAAAAACTGATACTGAGAGCATAAAAAATGAGAGGAAATACTGAGATCTCACTCTGCTTTTACCCAGTCCTTAATTGGGTGTTGAAATCATGTGGATATGTATGATTTAAGAGACTGTTAAGAAAAACAAAAGCCTCATATCACCTCATGAAGACTTATCACATAGGTAAAGCACCTCTAAAGGTGACAGAAACTGTCTCCTAGGAATCAACAAGGCAACTCTCCGAGCCAGTTGCTAATACTGCAGCTACTGCCGCCCGAGCCGTGGCTAAGGGCCCAGGGGCTGGCGTGAACATGGGCAGGCCCCCAGACAGCTTCCTACTGGTCCTGCACCAGGTTCAGGGCTCCAAATCCTGCCCTTTTCACCAGGCTTCTGGAAACCCTGAAAACCCTGATTACAGCCCCGTAGCTTTGAGAGCTTCCTGGCCCCGTGCTTTGAGAGAATGAGTCTTCAGACTGAGATGTTTTGACAGAACAGGCAAGGACTTTGCAACAGCTAAAATATCTGTGAAGTTTGAGATGATTAAGCAAATCAGCACTCGACCACAAGACAAGGTATGCAGGGAAAAGTGCTGCCTCCCAATCCTAATAGGACTGGGCAATAAAGCATTAGCTCAATGAAAGGCCTTAGGATTTGCAGTGCAGGTGGCTGTGGGTGAAAGCAACCACACGGAGATAAAGCTCCTGCAAGAAAGCAGCTGATGAAGCCATTCAATATTCTTCAAAATAGACTGTTGGTTAGTTCCTAGTTCTTAACCCATATAGTGAAGACATGGTGAAAGTAAAACCAAACTTAAACACGCACACAAAAAAACAGTTAAACTAGGGAGTTTTTACATCTCTGTGGGCCTATAGGTAGAGTTTGAACATTACAAAACATTCAGTTCAATCTTTAAGCAGATATCCTGTAACCAGCCAGATTATTTTCAATTGCACATTCTATTTGGTAGATTAAAACCCAACCAAATAACAGTGTGACACA